ATCTCAAAGTCGAGGTTGCCTAGGCTTCAATTCAGCTATTGAGGCAAAATATTTAATAAATATTTAGAATTCCAAGCTTTTTGTATGGTATAACAAGTATTTCCTTCATTATAAATCTTTTTCATTTGTCTTATTTTAAAATAAGAAAAAGATCGGGAGTATTCGAGGAAGGCCTTTGCTTGATTTTCTAGTCGGGCTCTATACTAGTCGGGCTCTATTGTAATGTTTGTAATGAACCGGAAATTCTTGATTGAATTCATAAAAACATTAAAAATAGAATTTTCATCTGACGCTATTTACCTATTCAAAACTAAATATCTATAAATAAATTGAACACACAATCCATGTAAATTTAAATTATAAATATATAGCCAAAATATAAAAACAACATAGCATACAAATGAATCAAAATTTTCTTTCATAAAATCAAGCAAAATTCCATTAGGTAAAATAACAATTGTATTCCCTTCTGTATCAAGTACATAATACTAAAATAATAGGTATAAACTTGTTTTAAATTAATTCGTATTTCAAGATTAAATATTAACTTTGTAGAATATTTCTATAATCAATCCGAAACGGGTTCTATTCACATTATAGACCAATAGGGCTTTATTTTTCAACCATCCCGGAGAGAGGGGGCTCTAATAAAGAGGGGGGTGTTGGCCTTCTGAGATTTCTAAAATTATTGCCTGGGTGTATGGATGATCTAATTCGAAACATTTAGCGACTTTTGTTGAAATATGAAATTACCGTTTGTAAAAACAATTGACAAGTCAACAATAAAATATCCAAAACACAATTTTGTATCAGAATTCGACTGTGTGTTTTCATTTCTTTTGGTGTTTTAAAAATAATTAAAACAATCAGAAGAATATTTAAAGGAAAACCAATTAATAAACAAACAAAATAATCTAATTTAAATAAAATATCAAGTATATCCAAGGACATTTTTGAGGGGTTTTAGCAGAGAATTTTTGTCTAAATTTTTAAATTTGTTGAGTTTCTTTTCTATAAATTTTAATTAAAAATTAGTGAAAATGCCTTAACTTTTTACCTCGAGAAAAATTAAATTAAAAATCTTATTATATAATTGAGAAGGGTGTGTCTGTCTGTCTTTCCGGTGCATTAGGAGCTCCTTCCTTTTAATACCAGTATAAACTAGAGTTGGACAAAACGATACTGGTATCGGCCAACCCGAGACCGAGATTGACCGATACTCAAGAACCCGATACCGAGACCGATACCATCATTTTGAGCCGAGACCGATACCGAGAAACGATACTGACCGAGACTAACAGGAATTTTTATTTTATGTCAAAAAATACATGTAAAGATAATTTATTCATTATTTTCATCTTCCAAATCATCAGATAAATACTCTTCATCATCTGGATCCGATTCGATTGATGGTTAACATCCTTTTTTATAAAAAACTAAATAGTAGGATTTATAGGTAGGAGGATTATAGTCCACTTATACAATAGTAGGATTTATAGTCCACCTAATCCGCCATTAGCTTTCCAAATATACCTATATCCGCCTTAATCGAGATCCCTCCAAATCCATTGATATCCCCTTAATAACTCAAATCCCTCCAAATACCCCAGTATTGTATTTAAGCCTTTTAATTTTATTAAATTACTGGGACTCAGTAGAGCTAGATAAAACGGCAAATCTCGTGCAACTCATTCATAGGGCTCAGTGAACTGCTCGGATTTTGTAAGGCAAATAAAGAAGGATTCACTTTTTTCAGCGCCGCAGGCGAAAATTTTTTGAAATTCAGAAGGCCAAGTGTCAAAAATCCTCATTTTTATTAAAAAATACAAGAAAATTGGGGTCTTTGAGTCAGTATCGTTTCTCGCCGAGAAATGGACCGAGAATATCGGTATCGGTTTCGAGACCGAGAATGAAAAAACCGAGACCGATATTGGAAAAAAGCCGAGAATCTCGGTATCGGTATCGGTCTCGTCTTGTCCAACTCTAGTATAAACTCCACTCTTTATTGTAACCAATACATAATGTTGCCCAAGCAGTGCGTGCGAATAGGCAGTGGGAAAAACTTGAATATTTTCAGTAAGACAATGCAAGTCCGCACGTGTCAGCGGTAACTCTCGATCACATTAGATAGGTTCTTGGGTGGCGTTTAATTTCACACTCGCCGTATAGTACGGCCCTCGCGGTGACACGACTCGGGCACAGTGATCCATTTGCACAGTAAGACTTTTGCACAGAGGGCATCTGCACAGTGGACAAATGCACAGTAATTTGTGGTTAAAATACAAGAAAATTGGGGTCTTTGAGTCAGTATCGTTTCTTGGGTCTTTGAGTCAGTAATTGGGGTCTTTGAGTCAGTATTCGTGTTAGGTTTTACTTATTGTTATAAGGGGATAAATGTTACTAATTATTAATACCTTTACTAAAAAATCTTAAATTGTATTAGAATTCATAATTCTTTTTCTAACCTAAGTTTTTCTTAATTTTTTTACATATTCTAAATTTTCGTTCGCTTATCAAGTGGACAAATTCTAGCAGATCTTTATTAAAGTGTGCAAGTATTTTAGTTGTAAAAATGAATTTTTACTAATTTTTAATGATAAATACACGCACTTGACTGAGGGGTAGTGCAGTGCATCAGAAATCAGATTTTTTAAAAGGGGTACATATCCAAAAACTTCTTTCTTGTTTAAAAAATGATGTTAAGACTCGGGGCAATTATTATGTTCAGTTAGATTTTTTATTCATTTGATTCTTTATGTGATTTACAGATTTTTCTTATGAATTCTAATACAATTTAAGATTTTTTAGTAAAGGTATTAATAATTAGTAACATTTATCCCCTTATAACAATAAGTAAAACCTAACACGAATCCACTTAACCACAAATTACTGTGCATTTGTCCACTGTGCAGATGCCCTCTGTGCAAAAGGCTTACTGTGCAAATGGATCACTGTGCCCGAGTCGGAGCGCCGGACCTCGCACCATCGGACGCCACCCAAGCACCTATCTGTATCATCTTTTTCTTTCTTTAAAAAATTTTTTGAGGGGTCAAAATTTCAAGTCCGCTGACGAAGTCCAAAATGCGGTGGCGTGATATTTTTCCTCTAAAATGTGAACCATGATTTTCGAACATGGAATTCGAAGGTTGTGCCATCGTTGGCAATCCGTTATCGATCTTCATGAAGAATATTTTATTGTTTAATGATATTTTTGATTGTTATTTTGGAATAAATATCTTAAAAAAAAGCCACACTAATTATGACCTGACCTAATAATAAACAAACAAAATAATCTAATTTAAATAAAATATCAAGTATATCTAAGGACATTTTTTAGAATTTTTTAATTTTAAAAGTTGTATAATAAAAGTAATAATTTTTACCAAATAGTTTCTTTAATTATAAAGTATAAATCTTAAAATCTTAAAAATTTTATTTATCATGTCTTTAAAAATACAAAAAATATTTGTGAGAAAATTTTGTTTATTTAAAATTAACAAATAAATTCTTAGAAAATATTTTTTAATTTAATATTATTTAATAAATATGTATAGCATGTGAAAAGAGAAATGGATCATTTGAGGAGGGGGGGGGGCAATTAATTGAGTAAAAAATTTTAAGATGTAAGGGGACTGTTGGCTTCAAAAAAGATGCCATACCTTAATTATTTATCATACCAAAGAACATGAACATGGTCAAATTCTGAGTATACCCAACACTCGGGTTTCGATGAGGATAAGCGCCATGGAAACTTGTTTGCTCTGAGAATCGATTTATATGAAGGCCATAAATGAACTAGGATTCAAGCCCTACAAGATCATTAAAGTACAACTTTTTATAGAAAGAATGAAAAAAATAGGATCCAGAGAAGTCCCTTCCGAAGCAGCTCGCAAATCAAGCAACACTTTCTTCAATCCAAATTTTTTTATAAAGTAAACATGTCCTAAACATTTCTTGTCACCCTGTATAATTACGAAGCAGAAAATTATGTAGAAGTTTCTTAAATGTGTGAAAAAGTTGTTTATCTTTTAAAAAATACAAAAAATATTTGTGAGAAAATTTTGTTTATTTTAACATGAAAAATAAATTTTAAAATTTTATTATTTAATGACGTTTTGGTTGTGAATTTAATTAATTAATTTAAAAATAAATATGTACTATATAAAATCTTTATTCGGATATTTGTTACGGTTCAGGGTATCTCGTCATTTCAAGGAACCACCCTACCTTAGTCAAAACATTGATAAAATTATTTGTAAAATTATTACCCACAGGCATCTCCGGAAAAAAGTGTGGTACCGTTCGACTCAACTCGCCGAGACGAATCGAAAATGGTATGGGACATATATCGAAACCTTTCCACCGGTATACTATACTATATCCAATATTTTTTCTCATTTATTCTCTTCGTTAGTCTTAATATAAAAATTTTAACCTTTGAGCTCTATCATCAAAAAAGCAAATTAGTTTTTTTAAACATGTACTATTCCCCTATTTTTCAAAGTTATTTGATTTTTGCTGTAATGAAATGGAAAAAATAAATGGAAGGACAAAAATAAATTAAATACATATAAACTTTTTTTAATTTATGTAAAAAATCGATTCTTTTGTCTGGGTATTCTGGCCATTATATCATTATACCATTTTGTGTGTATTTGCATTTACTTCCAATTTATCTTCAGTTTTCATAATTTTTTTGATTTATAAAAATCTAGAAAAATATTAGTAAAAAAGATAACTTTTCAACAATCATTTCAAAAGATATTTTGCTAATAAAGTTAAATATTCATAAAATTTTACAGGCTTGACAAAAATGTTTTCGGATGTAACAAAAGTAAATATTTTTAAAAATTTATGTGCAGGGATTTTATCCAGGGTTGCATAAGAGATTTGATCGAGAATACATTAGGAAAAATTTTTCGAGCGTATACTTCTAGATATGGCATTTTTACCTAAACTTTACATTTTCTCGATAACATCTCTGTACTAAATTAATTTAGATGGATTCCCTCACTTGTGAAATGGAATGGAAAGTATATAATTTTGATAAACATGAGCAATTTTTGAAAAATGGCCAATTTTTAACGAGTTTGTGCTTTTTCTAAAGTTAAATTTAAAAATAAATTTTAACTAAAATCCAGGCAAGCAATTTTACAATCCAAAATGCCCTTCTGTTAAATGGGAATTACGTCTTTACACAACTAATTATCGTTATGAATACAATAGTATTATTTACTATGCGAGCAATTCTGTTTCTCTTGTTCAAGTGGGGCTGAAAGACATGAATGATTCATTGAAAGCTAAATTTAATATTTATATATTGGGTGATAATGGAAATAAATCATCAATTAGTGGGTAAGAATGTCCATTTTTAGTTTGTAAATTAATGGGTTTGTTCGGTAGGGCGACCCTTTCCAAAAACACTAAAACAGGACATAGCAACTCAAAAATAGGGAAAAATATAGGGGCATAATTTTAAAAACAAAAAATAATAGTTAAAATTTAAAAAATGCTTTATTCTGCATATTTTTCAAAGTATAACTAAAATAAGCAAAACGTGATAAAAATAAATTAATAATACTATGTTTGCCCGGGCATTTTTAAAATTAAATTGGGACCAAGATAAAGAAAGAGTAAAGAAGATTAATCAAATGAAGATTGATAGAAACAACATTGAAAAATTAAAGATATCACATTTTTAAATTTTTAGGAACAATACATTAGATTTTAAAAATCAATTAGAAACAAATAAATATTCATTTACCAAACCAAAAACGGCTAACAGTATGTTAAATTAAAAAATTTTAGCATATTTTTATTTCTAGATCCCTTAACGATTTTTTGCGAGATTGAATTTGTGCCTTATAATTTAAAATTAGAAAATGAATTTGACGATTCTTTAACATCAAAGAATTCATTTATAGATATTTTTAAAAAAGGAATACTTACTGATTGTGTTTTTGAGATAAGTTTCTTAAATATTAAACCCCTTAATTTTATCCTGGCCTGGCCTACTTACATAAGTCCGAACTGGTTTATTGAATAAAGAATAACAATATCGTGGTTCCGAACGTTCTCATGGTTCCGAAACGGTTCATGGAGCTGCAAGATACATAAATTTCCAAACTTTACCAAGAACGGGAATCATTTCCGATTTTTATGACTTTTTTGGAGGTGTCAGAAAATTTATTCACTGTGTTAACGAGGAAATGAGTCGTATTTTAATCCAATATCCTGAGCTGTCTAAATCATATTAAGTTAATTCATTAATTTTAATTCATTCGTTAAATTAATTAATCTTCGAAATGAGTAATAAATTAACTATTTATATTTTAAATTGGAGATGTAAAAATAAATGCACATAAATGTATTTTGGCTAATTACAGTATTGTATTCCAAACCATGTTTGAACAGAAAAATATGAAAGAGGCTCGAAGTGTAAATAAAATAAATTATTTAAATTTTTAATTAAAATAAAATTTAAGGGTAAAATAAAAATTGTTGATTCTTCCCCAGAATGTTTTAAAGCAATGCTGGAATATTTTTATAGTGGAGAAATTGATAAAAGTATTTTTTTATTAAGTCGTACCTCACCTATAGTTAAGTATGTGGAATTGAAAAGGTATTTGAAAATTAGGGGTATCCACCGTTGGGGAGGGGGGGGGGCAGTGGTAGGCGCAAGAGAATTTTAAAAAACGTAGCACAAATCCAAAGTTGAGCTCAATCCGACCATCCTTGTCTGGAGGTATTTCTTAATCAGTCCCGGACACAGTGGCCAACCATAATTTTAAATGCTTATCTTAAATGACGATGTATTTAATTAAAAAAATTTAAATTTTTATAGAAACAATTGAAAAACTTTCCGAAGATTTATTTTCTGTTGCACATAAATACGAAGTAAAACAATTAATGGAAATTTGTGAAAATTATATGGCTGCTAATATTGGTAGACAATAAAAATAATTTTTAAATTTTATCGTTTATGTTTTTAAAAAAGATGCTGCAAACTTTAGCAAACGTTGCAGTTATGCTGAACTTTATCGTCTTCCAAAACTTGAAAAGGTTATTTGTGTATTTAGACTTGAAAACATATTGGGCCCCCTTTCCAAACTGAATTTAAAATTATTTTTAGGCTTGTTTCAATTATTTTTCTTCAAAAAGAGGAACATTTATCCTCAGCAAAGAATGGAATAATTTTAAAACTAACAATAAAGATTTTGCTTTTCGTTTATTAGAAGATAAACAAATTTTTGGTTAAAAAATTGGTAAATGAGTGACATTGAATTAATGAATTTTCTCATTCAATCATTGTAAAATATTTAATCAAATTGATTTTAATCTCAGTTTTAATTTTTATTATCATTTTACATTCGATTATATTATCGGCCCAGAACAATTTTTATTGACCAATACGTGTTTAAAGATAAATTTTTTTAAATTATTTTTTAAAGATAAAATTTCGAGCAAAATTTTTTCTTTTTTTTAAATCATGTTTTAACATAAAAAATTTTCAAGAAAACACCAAAACTCTTGTCAAACCAAAGTTTTGTTTGTCAAAGTTGTAACGTATTTGCTTTAGGTACACACCCCATTTATTCACCAAGCTCAAATAAAGCTCAAACTGGTCAACCAAACTTAAGCTAGTCTACGAGACGCTTGTGCGAAACCCAACGCTCAAAAATATTTTTGAAAATTTAATCTACCCAATTTATATTTTAAAATTTATAAAAATTTATTTTCTCTAAAAAAATTAAGAGGAATGAGAAATTAAAAGTGTTTTCTTTGTTTTTGGTCTGCATTGGAGAAGAACAAACATAATTAGAGCGAATGTTGCCGATATTGAAATTAAAACAGAAATTAGAACAACAAAAATAAGAAATGTTAGAGACCAACGAGAATTTATTTCCATCGTTCTAAATTTTAAGAAAAAAATTATTTAAAATTTTCACAATCCCTGTATAAGCGACTCAATTAAATAATGAGATAATCTTTGAAATTTTTTTGGAAAGTACATATTCTAATTTTAACCGTTAAAATCCTTCAAGACTTTCTATTCTTATCAAGCTAGTCCTCATTCCTTATCTCACATACAGTTAACTCTCCATATAACGAACCCGAAGGAGCGAAAAAGGTTGCTTATATAAATAGGTTAAAGAGTTGAATCCTATCCGAAGAGGTGTAAATGAGAGAAGTGAGATTAAAAGTGTTTTATTTACTTCAATAAAAGTCGCTATAGAGAGAGTTTGTTAATTAAAAGATTAATGTTGCCAAAATGGCCCGACTCGGATCGAAAGATCGAGTCGAGCCTAAGATATTTGTCCCGAAAAAGACTCATAGCGGCCCGACTCGATAAAAATGAGGCCCGAAAAAAATGACTCGATCGTCGGCCCGACTCGAAAACGGCAACCCTAAAAAAGATTACGCACTTTGACCGCTGTACTTCTTCATAAAGTTGTCTATCTCTTATAATATCAATATAAGCAGGGGTTGTAGTAGAGGTAATTTGGTTATTATTATTATTTCCTTCTAAAGGCCAAGAAGGTGTTTGTAAAGGTGGGGGGAACATTCTTCTTGATTGTTTTGAATTTTTACTTTTTTGAACATAATGATCTGCACTTAGATAACTTTGTGCGGCTTTTGTGCTTCTTCTAGGTAATTTACTTCGAGTTCTCTTATAAGGGCCTTTTGTTGGATAATTTAAATTTAATTCCTCTTCAGGCTCATTTAATAATATAGAATTACTGAAAATATCAACAGGAAGAGGAGGGAGGGGAGGTTGTTTTGTTGTTGATATGGTGGTGGTGGTGGGTATTGTTTGTATAGGATGTGGGGTTGTTGAAGGAAGTGAGAAACGACCTTAAATTGAAAATTATTTTGAAAAGACAAGACAATAATAGAATTTTTATTTAGTATGTTTGTGGGTGTGTTGGTTAAAATCCCCCCCCCCCCCCCCCCCATATTGGGAATATCTCAGATGCTCATTGTTTTTGCATCTACTTCATTCTATCAGGAATAATTAATGAAATTAAATTTAAATAGATATATTAAATAGATAAAAGATCTATTATACGTTAGTTCCATCAAAAGCACAAAGAAACCTCTTCAAAAAGGACACTAAAGAGGGGCTGTATTTAATGTAGTGTACCGGTGGTAAAAGTTCGGGACCTCGACGGTCCCCCCTCTCTACCTTAGAAAATGATTCTGAACTGAGTTATAGGTCCCGAAAAATAATAAAACCATAGGAAAACTATAGGAAAAACTATATAGAGCTCAAATTTCTTGCTTCAAAAAATATTTAAAACCCTACTAGTCTCTTTATATTCTAACTCCGATTTAAGTTGGCAAACACTTTCTTCTCTCTCCTTCGAAACATTTTTATTGTTGCCATACAAAATCCGAACAAAGAACACACGTAATTCTGCGGAATCCAACAGCGCCTCAGGCAAAATGTATTTTTCTGCATTTTTAGCACGTAAGTAAAGGAAAAATTGTGACAATTCAACCTTTAAATAACAATAGGGGAATGAAGATATTCTTTTAGGGAAATTTTGGGAGAGGAAGAAGTAGGTTTGGGGGATTCTGGGGAAATATTAGGATATTCAGATCAGAGTTGGGCCGGAATTCCGATTTCCGACGTTTTTTTCCTTCCGATTTCCGAAAAAAACTTATTTCAAATTTCCGAGTTCCGACTTTTGAGCCAGTTCCGATTTCCGGCTTTTCAGATTTCCGACACCTCTGACTGTTCCGACCCACCTCTGATCCAGATCAGTCATCAAATTAAAAATTTAGGATATTTTAAATATTTCGGGACTGGATTTGCCAAGAAATTGATATAATTCTTGCCCATATTCCTAGATAATTAAGGTAAATGTCCAGTTGGCGGTCTACATGTCCGCAAAGAGAATCTGCTCTTTTCTTTCCTTTTCTTGCATTTTTTGCGTTGGGAGAAATGCTCCGCTCATTTTTCCTTTTCTTCCATTTTTCCTTCTCAATAAAATATGTTTTCCGGCTCCCGGAGATTTGGGGAGTGGACATTTGGGGAGTGGACAATTGGGGAGTGGAAATTTGGGGAGTGAGCGGACATTTGGGGAGTGGACAATTGGGGAGTAGACATTTGGGGAGTGAGGATTAAAAAAATAATTTAAAAATAGATTTTTTGGACAATAAAAATAATTTATACACAGTGAAGGTGTTTTCGTGGAGTTATAAAGGGTAAAATTCAATTACCCTTTATCCCCCACAACGTACTAAAAAGTGGACCCATTACCGTATAAAAAACCCATTTACCGTATACCGATTACCGTTTAGCTAAACGGTTTTTTGCTACCCTAATTTCTAGTGAAACCCTGACCCCCCGACCGAAAAGTCAATCCCGACTCCGAACCACGACATGCATTCCCCGGCACACCCCGATCACCTCACACCAGCCCCCGAAGGGAGGTTGCTATCCTACTTTTATGGGTTACTCAACCGGCTACAGACATAAAAATATCTTTAAAATCTTTGAAACTCCACAAAACCGCCTTCACGTGTGTATAAATTATTTTTATTGTCCGAAAAAATCTATTTTTAAATTATTTTTTTTAATACTCACTCCCCAAATGTTTACTCCCCAATTGTCCACTCCCCAAATGTCCGCTCACTCCCCAAATTTCCACTCCCCATTTGTCCACGCCCCAAATGTCCACTCCCCAAATTTCCGGACACGATGTTTTCCTGTTCATACTTGAAAAATTTAGATTTACAAATAATAGATCTATGGCTTTCTAATAGGTTATACGACACTTGGGGACGGACTTTTGCGGACCGACATTTGAGGATGGACATTTGAGGATTGCGGACCGACATTTGGGGACCGACATTTGAGGATCGAATTTGAGGAATCGACATTTGAGGACCGACATTTGGGGATTGCCATTTGAGTATAAGCATATTTGTATCTTAAAACAGAAATTATCACAAATTATGTACTACGGTTAAGTTGTTGCACAATCGGGGGAAGTTGATTTGTCGGCGGGTGATGCTGTTTAAACGACGGGGGATGGTGTTCCGACAACGAGGGATGTTATTCCGACAACGGGGGAAGTTGTTCTGTCAACGGGGGATGTTGTTCCGTCACCGCGGGAAGTTGTTCCGTCAATGGCAAGAATTTTTTGTCAATGGGGGAAGGTAATCTGCGTGTTGAAATAACCTCTCCCGTCGTTGGAATAACATCCCCCGTTGTCGGAACAACATCCCCCGTTGTCGGAACAACATCCCCCGCCGACAAATCAACTTCCCCCGTTGTCGGAACAACATCCCCCGTTGTCGGAACAACATCCCCCGTTGTCGGAACAACATCCCCCGTTGTCGGAACAACATCCCCCGTTGTCGGAACAACATCCCCCGTTGTCGGAATAACCTCTCCCGTCGTTGGAATAACATCCCCCGTTGTCGGAACAACATCTCCTGTTGTCGGAACAACATCCCCCGTTGTCGGAATAACCTCTCCCGTCGTTGGAATAACATCCCCCGTTGTCGGAACACCATCCCCCGTCGTTTAAACAGCATCCCCCGCCGACAAATCAACTTCCCCCGATTGTGCAACAACTTAACCGTAGTACATAATTTGTGATAATTTCTGTTTTAAGATACAAATATGCTTATACTCAAATGGCAATCCCCAAATGTCGGTCCTCAAATGTCGATTCCTCAAATTCGATCCTCAAATGTCGGTCCCCAAATGTCGGTCCGCAATCCTCAAATGTCCATCCTCAAATGTCGGTCCGCAAAAGTCCGTCCCCAAGTGTCGCACCACGTTCTAATAAGCCCAAAATAATGATCAAAAAAATTTCAAAATAATATTTAAGGAGACATAGGCCCAGTTTTTACATCTATCGTCCCCCTCATAGTTTTTTATTAGAGCTCTAACCCAGGCCGCGCCCGGGACCGGGTTTTCAGGGCCAGGTAGCCCGGAAACCGGGTATTTTGAAAAATAAATAATTTTTTCCTTATTAGAGGTATTTTTATTTTTCAAGTATGAACAGGAGCATTTCTCCCAACGCAAAAAATGCAAGAAAAGGAAAGAAAAGAGCAGATTCTCTTTGCGGACATGTAGACCGCCAACTGGACATTTACCGATAATTAAATAAAAATCTAAGCATCTAAATACCTCAATTTGTATATTCTCTTCCAATTTATTATCAATTAAGCAAGGAGGCATATTTTCAGAATTAATTAAATTATTTTCAATTTTATCTCCTTTAGTTATATTTAATAATGTAATAAATGGAATTTTCTGATTTTTATTTTGCCCAAATAATTGGATAGACATTTGCCAATTTTTTGGTTTTTCATTATTTAAATTTTCGAAAACTGCCAAAATTCTAAAAAAATATTTTTTCACAGCTTTACATAAAAATAAATTAGTACCTAGTATTGGTGTCAGTTAACCATTCCTGTTGGATTTGGACGGTGAAATGGAGAAAGCGAGGTGAAATGGGTGGAAGTGAGAAGGAATAATTCTATAATATTGTACATTAATTTATTTAAAAAAAATAAATGTTAAAATATAATGACTATCTTATCCAACTATTAGAGATCGGTGTGGATCTGGATCCAGTCTTGGATTATTCCTGGACCCATAGTCCTGATCCATGCATTTTTTGATCGTCCTGGATTTTTTCTGGAGCAGGAATCCTGTCAGGAATCAAGAATCCTGTCCAGGTTATCAACCTAAATCAAGATCCAGAATTTTTGAAAATACCCGATTTCTACGCACTATAGCGCAGAAAATTCAAAATTTACTGTAAAAATTAATTTGACTTATAATCCGGAAAATGCTTACCGAAAACAGTAATAAATAAATAAATGAGGATTTAAAAAATTTTGTTGTGTAGATGAACATTACAAAATTAATTCCTTTCAACATTTTTTTCAAATCAAATCTGAAAGAAAAACTTGATTGAATAATATTTCAAACAATAAGGAAGTAATTTTTTAGTCTTAATGTCTCTAGACATTATCGCCCATTCAAAAACAATTTTTTTCAAAAAAAAAACAATTTTTTAAAACAAAAGAATCATGTTTCAATATAAAAATTGTTTTGTTATTTTATTGCTACATTTTTATAAATTAAATATTTTATTAAAAAACATGAAAGGAGAATTACGGGAAATATACTTCACCGCAGCCCAATTTATCTCGGGGCCATTAATTAACTCTGTAAACGTCAGATCTACCGTATATCCTTTAATAATTACCCTGGGTAATTGTTTTGACCTTCTGATGGAGAGAGTAATTAATCGAGGGAGGGTAATTATACGAGGTTTGTAATTTGAACGTGTTTTAGGCCATTTATTTGGGGGTAATTATTGTTTCAATCTATCGTTGGATGGGGTAATTAATAGAAGGTGGGTAATTATTTGAGGGAGGGCAATTAATACAAATTATACGGTAAATAATTTTGGTTTGTCTAGCTCCATCTCGTCGAGTTTCATCGAATGATAGCCTAATCAAGGAGATATAACAATGCTAAACCCTAGTAAAATACTCCGCGGCGGTGTAAACTAGCGGTAGAAAGGCCTTTTGAAAGGGATTGTGATTTAATGTTCTATATATTTTATATTTTTTTTATTTATCCGTCAATCATGTCTATATACTAAATAACATTTTTAAAAAATATGCTTGTTCTTTTATAACACCTTTCTCTTATTTTTTTCAAATCGGCTGTACTCCCACAAAATCAAACAAAAAATGAAAAAGATTTTTTTAAATTTTAAACAGTTGCTCATTCATTTTTAATGCAAAAATTTTTATTTTTAGAATATTTTGAAAAAGAAAAAAAGATTTATATATTTATTGAAAAAATTAATGGGTTTGTTTTTTATAAATAAATATTTTTGTGTTAGTAAATACTTTTGTTGCTTAGAAAATAAAATAAAAATCATGGAAAAAGTGTTAGACAAAAGAATCAAGATAATATTAAGAAAAAGATTTTTAGGGATAATTTAAAGTAGGCTAGATTATATTCAAATCTTTTTCGAGATTAAAAAAAAATTAAGCAAAGAATTGGGTAATTGTGTAGTTTCCATCCCATAAGCCACACCCCTTTAATCTCTTCCTTTTCTTAAACATATAAGAAACTATTCACTCTTAAGAATCGTATATAATTTATTAATTAAACTGGATAATCAGTGTTCTAATCTCTTGCTGAAAAGGGTAATTAATAGAGGCGGGGTAATTATTTGAGGAAGGGTAATTAATACAGTATATACGGTATCAGATATATTTTTATAAATTAGAATAAGTTTAAGAGAACTGGAACTGTTCAAATTAGTGTTTGTTAGAAGGGATCTAGCTGAAATAAAAAATAAATTTCCGATTTTCGGGAAGCGGGACGCTTTATTAGGCTTTAATAAACAGATAAAAAATAGTTTTGTAAACAGAACCCTGTTATCCCTTGGATTCTTTTACCAATAACATTGTTTATATGCTTTACATATTTGTGAATATTTTTATTGTCTAAAGAATTATCAAAAAAGTAACAAAAAATTTTTTTTACATTTTTAAACAAAATGTAACAAAAGTACTTTAACAATAATAATTTTCTTTTTTTTTCAAAAGAATAAAAAAAAGGACTAAAAAGTTAAAAGAATATATTTTAGATTAAAAAAAGGACAAAAAATTGAAAGAGAACGGCATTTTAGGTAAAATAAAAATTTAATAGAAAAAAACTCATTTATTTCCCCTTAACTTTTACGGTCGATGAATTTATATATTCATAAAAGTTGAATGAAAAAAGACAAGTAAAAGAGGCAAAATGCCAATATATTTTCTTTTTATTTTTGTTTTTTAGTATATTGGCCTTATGGAAAAAATTGAGAAAAAAGAAAGGAAATGAGAGAATTTTGTTTACAGGAATGTTAAGGGCGCCGGTGCCGATAAATTAATCAAATAAGCAACTATATATGTAGAGATGTGAAATGTTGCAGTAAATGTCTTTAATAGTACTAACTAATAAGTAGAGCTGTGAATTTTATGCATTAAAAAATGCAAAATATGCACTATAATATGCATAAAAAATTGCCGAAATATGCACGAAAATATGCAAGAAACCCAAAATATCCACGAAAATATGCATGAAAAATACAATTTATACCTAGAAATTTTACATTTTTTTAGTCAAAAACATTCAAACACCTATTTTTACTAAGATTACTCCCAATTTATATGTATTATTCAGCAAATTGAATATTTTTACACTATTGGACATTTTGAGATGAAGCTTTTGGCGATGTGACATTTTGGGGTGGGACATTTTTGGATCGCGTCCAAAAAACAAAAAAAAATTTTTTACAAAATTCTTAATTTTTATAAATTTTTTCCAAAATTTTCCAAAATTTTTACAAAATTTTCACTTTTTGGCAGGATTCTAGGCAATTTTCGCGATATTTTCCCAAAAACCCTCAAAATATGCAGTAAAATATGCATTATGCACCAAAGTCTGAAATATGCAAAAATATGCATTATATGCAAATAGAAACCCCCTCTAGAGTTTGCAAAACATGCGGAAACAGTGTTTTTTGTGCATTATACATCATGCCAAGTTTGCAAAAAAATATGCATTTGCATAAAAATCACAGCTCTACTAATAAGGTTGGCGGATAGGTGGAAATCTTCGGACATCCGGCCTTTTTTCGGATATCCGGATCAGCCAATCCTACTAAGTATGCTAAAAATTTCTAAGTTTGATTACATTTTGGCAAGTTATGGGGTAGTAGAGAATTCCCGAGAATGATTATTTTCTTTCTTATGAAAACCACACAATTGCCCATTCCTTTTTTAATCCTTTTACCTCAAAGAGGGCCAATAAACAAGTAAGCGATGCAAAACAATTTTCGATGAATGAGAGGAATGCAATTGCTTAAAATTGAAAACCCACAAAGGGACATAAAATAAATTGAGCGAAACAATTGGGAAAAGAATTTAGTAAAGCACTAGAATTAACTAAATAATTTGACAATATTCACGTTCCCGAGTAGTTTAATGATCGAGGTTTGGCATTTTCATTTTTTAAGGTTAGCAGTCCCTTATGTAACCCAAGCAAGTTATAGAAAAATCCTATGAGTCTTTATGTAAGTACAGGTAATGGTAAGGAAACCATAAATGTAGTTAAGTTATTAAATCGAATAAGAATTTTGAAGATTTTGGAGGATAAGATTTTTCAACGCTTCCATGAATTATCCCTAAATACATTCCTAGTTCATGTAGAGACAAAAACCCTTAGGGCGGGAATTTCAAACTTTAATATAAAAACAAATTCAAAAGTTCCTTTCTCTGATTTAGCTTTTTAAAAATATTAATTAGTCATTAATATTAGTCATATTTATGTATTAATTTATAATTTGTGAAAAATTAAATTGCTAAAATTAAACAGAAATATTTAATTATTATTTAAAAAAAGTAAATAAAAATGAAATTAATTAAAATAATATTTTTAATAATTATATTTGGAATATTTCTATCTAATTGTAAAGGAAAATTAAATGAGGAAAATCCGTTAGTTAAAAAATATTTTTTGAATTTCTAATTAATTAATTAAGTATTTTACTCACTGGTACAAGAAATGGATTACACAAAATAAAACTTTCTTCACTTTCTAATAAATGTACTAAAAAGGATCAGAATAATAGTGGTTATAGATTACTTTTTCAAATGAATGAAGGATTTTGTCATTCTGAAGCGTAAATTTTAAAAAGGATTTTTGTTCCGATGAAAAAAATTTTTTGGCAGTATCCGGAACTTTAAAAATAATTGGGAGAAAGACCCGAAGGCTTTAAACCAAATTTCCATAGTCGTAAAAATACGATTAAAGTTAGATCAAACATGCCTTGTGTTGCAGAAAAATGGGCATTTTCTCAGCTTAATCCTAAGCTCTATTTTCAGTTATTATCAGAAAAACATATTTATAATCTCGAAAAAGAAAGGTATATCAAAATTTAAATACTATTAGGTCGCCAATAATTTTTTTGCACACATAACATGTTTTTGGTTTTTAATACATACTTATTGATCAGGGATACTGCTGACAAAAAACTTTCTAAATCGAAATCCCGACTAAAAATGAAATTCCCGATTTCGGGAAATCGTGAGTTGGGACGGCATGATCCGTGTTATAGACCATTCGAAAGCTTAATTCGTATATGTTTTGACATATTTCAGCGTTTTTAAAATAAATTTGAAATTTCTGAGAATAAGCGAATAAAAAGGGTTCGAGTAAGAAAGATATACATATCCAAATTTAAATAATAAATATTTAAATAATTTCAGCTTGTTAATTTGTTACAAAAGTCAGTTTAATACCAGCTTACCAAGAAATTCAAAATTCTCTAATAAATTTAAAATTCTAAAAAATTATACAAATGATATTGCAAAAAGATGTGAGGAAGAAATTAATAAAGAAAAAAATAAAAATTTAAACTTATTTGAATGGCATGGGATTTTAGTGGCAAAAGATGGAATAATGGGAAGTAATCTTTCTTTACGAACTTCAATTTCAAATAATATGTTTGATTTATTTATTAAAAATTAAAATAAAGTGAAAGAAATGGCATTATATACATAATTAAATAGAATTAATTACATTTATTTATTTAAATTAATTTTCCAAATTAATTAAACTAGAGTTCAGAGTATCGGGATTTAGACAAAAATTCGGGATCGGGATTTTGGAATTGTGATAGCGATCGATCCCGGAATCGGGATTTGTTTTTTGGTCTCGGGATCTGCTAAATCAGGATCGGGATTCAAAAAACCCGGGATAATCTGCCCGATCCCGACCAGGATCCCGATACCGCTGAAGTTTAGCCTTAACACTGTTTTTTTCTCTTTCGAGTTAATACCTAAGTCAAATTTAGAAAAATTTCTAAGGAAAAAAGGAGTATGA